GCTGGTTTCTGCACAGAACAATATGCAGATGTTCTTGCTCTTGTTGTTGTTGTTGTGTTCTGTCAAGTCGGAACTGACTTACAGCAACCCTAACAGGGTTTTCAAGGTAAGTGAGATATTTAAGGGGTGGCTTTACCAGTTCCACTCTCCCAGTTAGTTTCCATGGCTGAGTGGGGAATTGAACCCTGTTCTCTGGAGTCCTAGTCTGCCACTCTATCCACCACACCACACTGGGAACTCAGTTGCAGATACACTACCCAGCAGTTGGGTTGCTTTGAAAATGTGAGCAGGTCAGCCAGGGGCAGGGCTAGAGCTCCCTTCTTGCTCACATTTTTCAAATAACCTTTTTTAAAAAGCTCCTTAAAAAACTAGTGAGAGAACCCAGGATACACTGCCAACAACCTGAAACTAGTCATTGGAGAAAGCAGGAACTTCAAAGGGAGATTAGAGGGAGGGATGGCTGAGTTACATTTTTTTTTCAGAGGTATCAGGCAGGCACCAGAAGCTTGAATTGGGACAAAAGCTTCTTATCACACTACATGTATTAATTGGCTTCCCTAGTGTGCCAGTTTTTTTCTGTAATCAGCAACAACAGCTTTATGAGTGGCTAGTGTTAATAATATCATTGTCATTTGCAATTAATTATCCTCTGACCTCACTTGATAATAACCCACACCTCACCTGCCAATGACATATAGTGTATGTATAACAGAAATTCGGGATAATACTTAGTCCATTTGGAAAAGTGAACCATAGTTCGTGGAAGCTTATGCCACAATAGATTTGTTTGTCTTTAAAATGGAACAAGTATTTGTTGTTTTTTTACATCTCTTAGATGATGTAAAATGGTCCCTTCGGTGGAAAATACTAATTAACACTATACCCAGCCTGTTCTTCCATGGTTTTGTTGTTGTCATTAACAAGGCTCCTTACTTCATCTGACAGGGACTAAATGCTGCATTTGCACTGTAAAGGCAATGAGAGTTTGTCAGTATTTGGTATAATTACAGGGAAAGGCAAAGAAACCCAATTGATGCATGGTTACAGTATAGTGCATTAGGCAGTATCGTACTAGGACTCAGTTTTACATCATTTAGTCAAATACTAATGGGATATATGGGAAAGCAGCCACGAGTGAGGTTTAGAATGACATTAATCACAATAATAACCTTGTATCCATATTTGGCACGGCAAATATTTGGCCATCAAAATCCTTATATCTTCAATAATATCTTAAAGTGTTCAAAATCATGTTCACTTTATGCTTTCAGTTTATTATGCCTCGTGACATCTTTCAGTCCAAAAAACTATAATCAAATATAGCAAATGTAAACAATTTATAAAATGTTTCATTGCTACTATATATTTACCCATTAATATATATTTCTAACTGTCTGCCAACCTGGAAACATTTTCTTGGCAACTCCTGCTGATCTGGAAACACTAAATATTTTTTCATTCTTCTTCTGACCACATATACTCTGCCATCTGTCATGTTCTGGTAAACAGTCAGACTCATATCAGACGCTTGATGTTTTACATTCTCCTTTGTTTTCACTGCTTGAAAGTAGTCCAAGGTAATCCTTAATCTAATGCTACTGTTGAGCTGAGTGTAGTGTATAAATAGCATCGTTCATGGCCTTTCTTAAAAGGTAATCTATAGGCACTGGATGCAGTTGTTACACTTGTTATTATGCAGAGAGAGACTTGGGCCTCGAAATTTCCTAACTCTTTCACCCATAGTCTCCTCTTCTTTTCCCAAAGGACAGCCATTCATCTTCATTAGCTTCTGGTGCCAGCCTGCTGCCAATTGTAACCAGTGAGCTAGTGGTATTGGTCTTGCATGGCAATGAAGAATTAGAATCTACAGTTCCTGGGTGAAGAAGGTTAATGGATTAATAAAGATTGTACCTTGATTATCCACATCATTGCAGCTTGCCTGGCTGGGCCAGCTTTCAGACAATTGTCCTATTGCATGGCGCATTGCCTTTGTTTAATGACCTAACTTCTAAACAAGTGCTGGTACAACAGTCGTAAGCAATTCTTGCCTTTTAATACGTGAGTGACTTGATAGGTGGTGATTCTGCTTTTGGAGGCAGGAATATATCGATTTATATATTAAGAAAAAAATGAGGAAGAAAAGAAGAAAGCAGGAGAAGGAAAACAAAAATTAATGTACAGATGCACTTAGAAGAAAGGCAGGTCTTTAAGGGAACAAGATGCCATGGGAGTTTGCTGTAGGTATTGCTCTGATTCATTCTATTGAGATCCATGGTGAACTTGTTCACAGATTAGCATCACCTAGAAGACCCTGCAAGAATATAAAAAGAGCCTTGCTACCTGGGACCTGGGAAACTATCTGCTTTATTGTCCCATTTCAAGCTGTGACCACCCATATACCTCTGGGTACCCTTCTTCTTTTGGATGTTTGGCAACTGACATACAGAGACAATATGCCAACTTCCATTAAAATCTTTCACTCAGTACATTAAACACAATGAGATATGTTCTCTCTTCCCCTCCTGATTAAATCTTGGGGGGGGGGGGTGTCAGCAGTCTTTGGCTTGTTCCCTTCCTCCTCTCTCCCAAGCTTGCAGTGTTATTTTTTAAAGGCTTTATTTGTTGTTGTTAAAATATTGTGCTACACATTTCCTAAGGGGAAAAAACATAGTTGTTTAATTATTTTGTTAATTTTTGAAGCAAAATGTATTTAAAAAATTAAGAATGGCCAAAACTGGCCCCAAAGACCCTCTCCAAAATAATCTCCCAAATTATGTTTTTGAAGCAAGAAGCGCATGTTAGTTGTTAGAACCCACAAATAAGTAGTCATATTGTCAGTTATATAATTTCACAAAAGTGGCATTGTTAGGCCCTTATTACAAAAGCAACACTTTACAGAAGGTTGTTGGTTTTTATACATCACCTCTAACTTCCATCCCTGGAAACTAACCCTGGGAATAGTGAATGGCCACCCTTGAATGCTGTACAAAGGTTTTGTTTTCCCAAGACCAGGGAGATGTTGATCTCTTTGCTTGAATCACTCAGTTCTTCCTAGAAAGAGGAAAAAGAGTTTATAACCTCTCCCTGGGAACAGTGGGGGGGTGGGGAATACCATCTGAACAAGATCTTTGTGTAAAGGCATCTTTGTGTGGTTTTTACAAAAAAATCACCAGGTTAGTGATATGTAACTCATTTATGCTATTTATCAGGTAAGAATGATAAAGAAAAGAATTCTTCTTGGAATAAATGGACCACAGAGCACTTCAGATTCTCAAACTGCAATTCAAAAGATATTTTGATTAAAGGGACCTACAGAGATGACATACAAATCACAGTGTGCAATATTGTGGCCACCAATGTCTGAATCTTTTATATCTATATATAAAAGATATATAGAGATATATAAAGAGGATCAAAGGTGAACATTTATAACTCCTAAATTATATATTTAAAGCCTGTTTATTTTTTCTATTGTTATTCACAGGCTGTAGCAACTTACAAAAGATGAAAAGATGTTTTGTATGTTTTACTAGAAAGTAAATCTCTTGTTGCAGCCAACAGACATCCAAGGCCAAAATTCTGTAGTTCTGGAACTGAGTTACTAGGGCCAGAGGGTGAAATGGAAATCCCTTGCTAAGATCTGCTCCAAACTCATAAGGAGAAAGACCATCTCAGCTCCTCCTCAGCTCCTCCTTGCCACCACAAAGGTCTCCAAAGTGACTTTCTCTGAAGGTTTACTCTGCCAGCCTC